GTGGTTGACGGAAAACAATTTTAAATTGAATGGGGCTATGGGTGATTGACCTCCCCCCCCCCATCCCCTGCTCGTTGTTGTAAGGGGGCTTAGGGGAGATGGGGACTGAGGCCCAATGTAGGTGATCACCCTGCCTTGGACCTCAGCCCTCAACTCAACTAATGACGCAAGGTCTTTTCTTCTTTCCTTTTCATCCCCTTCTGTCCGCTTATTCTATTCGTTAACTAATTTTATTGTCTTTGACACTATACTTTATCATAATGACCTTTGTCTAGCCCATTATTTGTTTTAACCATTCTAGGGATCCACAAATATCGCCCTATGAACCAAACAGTTTCCGGAGTCGGGCGGCTTCACCCTTTAACATCACCTTATTGCTGTATTTTGAATAGGCCGCTAATGACCTTAGATGCTGACGTGGCAGATTATTAAAAACATAATTAAATATTGGTAGTTGACGTAAAAACAATTTTGAATTGAATAAGGCTATGACTATAGGCGTAAAACAGTTTTGAATTGAATAACACTTTTCAATAGCGCTATGTGTGATCGATGTAAACAAAAAGAAAAAAAATTAATATGCTGTGGGTGATTGATGTTAAACTTTTTTTTTTATTGAATAGGGCTAAGAGCATAGGCGTAAAAACAATTTCGAATTGAATAAGGCTATGGATGTTTGACACAAAAAAATAATTAACGTAAAACAATTTAGAATTGAATAGGGTTATAAAGTTGTCATTCATTCTATTAAATAGATGTTTAAAATCCTTGTGAGGTCTACTGTATAAATTACGCCGACCACCATGTTTACATGTCGACTCTCAATTTCTATAAAAACGCTTTCAGAACAAATGCTTCATAATGGTTAACTGTGGCCGTAGGTGTGAATCGCGGCAAATCCCACACATGCAAGGCACACTCCCACTTTGGAGGAATAAATTATCAGTGTAGACATTGTAATTAACGGCACTGAAGAAACGCTGCACATATGTAGTTCATTCGTTTTCACAGAAGGATGAAAGATTAAAGTTAAGGCTCAGAGGACATAAGCACAGGTCTATGAATGTATAAAGATAGAGAGGGACGTTGATATTTAGACTAATAACAGATTACATCTATTGACAACCCAAGGACATTGCCGAGCGAGAAATTTCAGTCGGATTAACGAGACCTGAATTAGACTGGAGAAATGTAATTAGTTTGATTTGTGACATGCGAGGTACTGAGTGGAAAGTTGTAGTAATTATCATTTTCCAAATTATCCAAAGATGTTATATCGTAACGTAGAGTATTGTATAATTGGACGTTACTAACATCGTGTAACGGAAATATGAAAGTATCCAACATATTATTTATTGGAAATGCTATATGAACTTTGATGTCTAGCACATTTATTTCGCTTTGTAACTATTGACCATCATATGTGTTAATGCAAACCAAGATCCATAGACCTCGAGTGGCATTGTCCTTTATCTCTTCAATTAGAAGGTAGATATGTGAGATGATATGCAAATCAGATCATATAAATGTGATTTTTTTTCCCTTGCTCACATTATCTACTGTGCCTTGTCGATCTCTATCTTTGTAATTTCCTTCTGCAAGTACATTTTTTTATTCTTTATTTTATTTTATTATTATTATTATTGTTTAGTAATTTGGATAAAAAACAAAGAAAACTGTACTCATTCAACTTTATTCCAAGAGTTACTGATACAACTAGCAATATTTTGGGTTATTATGTAACAAACAATATAAAACTGCAAACAAACAAATACACAAATAAATAAAAATACTAATAATATGAAAGGTTGGACATTCTTTTAAAAATAAACTTTGTTAAAAGTCATACAAGTACCATTTCTTGCAGAATTTCCATGAATGAAATAATAACAATTGAGAAATAAACAAGTTTCTTTTCATTTAACTGGTCTGTTCATTAAGGCCATTTATCTGAACCAATATCTTGTTCAGAACTGATATCTAAGTACTAATGCCAAGCATTTCTGTTATATTGATGCTCTTGTCTTGAAAAGGTGTTGGAGAGAAAATCTGGAAAGCTCTGTAGCTAGGTGGCAAGAAATTAATAACCTCAATAATCTTCAAATTTCTAGTTCCTCACAGCCTTTTTACAGGAACTGACTTTAATGTGTGTGTGTGTGTGTGTGTGTGTGTGTGTGTGTGTGTGTGTGTGTGTGTGTGTGTGTGTGTGTGTGTGTGTGTGTGTGTGTGTGTGTGTGTGTGTGTAATTTGTGTGTGTAATTTGTGTGTGTAATTTGTGTGTGTGTGTAATTTGTGTGTGTGTGTGTGTGTGTGTGTGTGTGTGTGTGTGTGTGTGTGTGTGTGTGTGTGTGTGTGTGTGTGTGTGTGTGTGTGTGTGTGTGTGTGTGTGTACATGTGAACATGCATATGCATGTCTATGCAAGTGTATGTTAATTTTTTTTATTTTGTATTCCAATGTGTAAAAGGAAAAAACAAAAACAAATATATATATATGTATATATATCAAGTACATGACAAGGAGTGCTTTACTCTGTCTGAGAATCTTATACAAGACTTAAGAGAGAATTATATTCCCATGTCTAAACCTTTCTCATTTATAATTCAATCCTTACTAATACCTTCAATTTCTTTAATCCTTTTGCTTTTCTTTTTTGTTGTTCTCTTTGTCTCTATCATGATTTCCAAATTCCTTTCTCCTCTCCATTATCATAAAAAAAAATATCCATGAACAAATGTTCTACACAAGTAACACTATATAATAACAATTACCACCCACATATATACCTAAATATGGAATATAACACAGTAATGCAACACCCATCTATCAATTTCAGTGATAAAGCAAAATATGGAATGACTAACCCCTATATACAAATTCAAATTATATACAATTATGGAAGAGAAAATACTGTAAAGTACACTAGGGTAAGGTTTTTCAAGACAAATATCAGCCTTTATGATACTATTTGTCATGGCTGATGCCCGCGATCTTGATACTACCCATTGGAGTTCATTATCATTACCTACACTAGTGTGCTTATACAGACAACTATATGAACTGCCAATCCTCAAGTACTACATCAAGTTCACAGTACTGAACAAATAAAAATATTCTTAGTAGATTAAATGTTTGAAAAAAAATATATTTATACATATATTATCTTTTTAGAGATGTTCCTTTATGATGATTGTTTGTAGAATGAGAGGATTTTTTTTTTCTTTTTACTATCATCATAAGGACATTTTTAATTATTCTATATTTCTGTTAATCATCAGTTGTAAGTCAGCCAGCTGGAAGCCTTGCTTTTATATATATTTTTTTATCATATCTACATTTCTTATTAGAAATGTAATGTATCAACAATTAGATTCATGATCATTTCTAAAACAACAAAATATATGATTATTAAATGTAACATCCTTTCCTATCTCACAAAAAACACCAAATTGGAAACAGTTCTTGCAAAGAAAACCCTCTATAACAATCACAGTAGTGTGTATGACATAAATCAAGAGAAAACAAAAGCTCCATAAGATTCTTTGTAAAAATCTACACACGAGCAGTAAAAAAAAAGAGCAATTTGATGCTCAAACTCAAAGAAGAAAAGAAAAGAAAAAAAAACCTACACCAAACATAAACCAGACTTCCATAATATCACATTCTAGTCATGTCTCTGCCATGAGGCTATCCTATTCCCCATGCAAATAGGTAAGCTGCTGGTAGCCTCATCATTAAAGCTAATATAAAGTTCAATTTTTCTTGAAGGGTGGAAACAAAATTCCATTGGTCTGAGGAAGAAGTTGCAGCACAGAGAGAAACCTTAAGAAACACCCATATACTGTTCTGTGGTATTTCTGGTATTATGAGTACTCTTCATTTTGAACAACAACAAAAATTTAAGTCACATACCTAACATTGGAACCCAACATATAAAACTATAAACACACCAAAGGGAAACAAGACATACAAAGAACATTATTTTTCATTCAAGTTCTCTATGCAGTGCTGTCTGGATCACAACATATTCCCTGAATGTGCATCTAAGTAGAGTGAAAATATATACCTCATGACATAACTCTTTCTTTGGTTTCTAATTAAATTCATGAAAATTTCCAGGTTTTCACTTATCACAATGATTTATTACTTCATTAATGCCTTAATGATGGAGACGCCTCTATATTTAATTTATTGTGGTAATTGCTAGTTAAATTTTATAATCCTTTTCAGACATCTAGGATGTTTTTAAAGATTCATTCTGTTAACATTTTCATTCAACACTGTGGTTATGCAATCATTATCAACTATGCTTTATCATGTATGTTTTTGCTATGTGAGTTATTCTGTTTGAGAATATTTTTTCCTATTACCTTTGTGAAAAATATGACAGACCATCATTATAAGTAGAAGGTGAGCCTAATAACAGAAATGAAAAAGATCTCAATACTTATTCAATAAGTCTATTTAACGCAGAATAAACATTGCCTTGAGTACCTGAATGACATGAACAAAATCAATATACTACAAGATTTTATGACCAAGAGCCACACATGTATTTTCAGATTATGGTAAAAATATGCAATAATTACACATGGGGCAACTAGTTCGGTGAAAACAATCACTGCCACTCCCAAAGACCCTACTGTTTTTTTGTAATGCTAGGCAGCAAAAAAACATATAGTAGGTTCTAGTTGCAAGAGACAAAGCATTTACCTGTAACAGCAATAGTGGTAAATATTTACATAAATTCATGCTATTTATCATGTATTTGCAAGTTTCATGTTCTCTTCTGTATATCTATCAATAACTGCTTAAGGCGAAGGATCTGTCCAAGACCCAAGAGACAAAGTGGGATCGTGAGTGTCCATTCCTCCCGCCAGGTCGTAGGATGCATCTGCAACACCCTGCAAGATGTGATGTTCCTATTTGGAGCCCTTTGTCTTCTGGTAAGCTTCAATCACTGCAGTTAGGAATGCCTTTAAAAGAAAGAAAGAAAAAAAAAAACCTACACCAAACATAAACCAGACTTCCATAATATCACATTCTAGTCATGTCTCTGTCATGAGGCTATCCTATTCCCCATGCAAATAGGTAAGCTTCAATTTTTCTTGAAGGGTGGAAACAAAATTCCATTGGTCTGAGGAAGAAGTTGCAGCACAGAGAGAAACCTTAAGAAACACCCATATACTGTTCTGTGGTATTTCTGGTATTATGAGTACTCTTCATTTTGAACAACAACAAAAATTTAAGTCACATACCTAACATTGGAACCCAACATATAAAACTATAAACACACCAAAGGGAAACAAGACATACAAAGAACATTATTTTTCATTCAAGTTCTCTATGCAGTGCTGTCTGGATCACAACATATTCCCTGAATGTGCATCTAAGTAGAGTGAAAATATATACCTCATGACATAACTCTTTCTTTGGTTTCTAATTAAATTCATGAAAATTTCCAGGTTTTCACTTATCACAATGATTTATTACTTCATTAATGCCTTAATGATGGAGACGCCTCTATATTTCATTTATTGTGGTAATTACTAGTTAAATCTTATAATCCTTTTCAGACATCTAGGATGTTTTTAAAGATTCATTCTGTTAACATTTTCATTCAACACTGTGGTTATGCAATCATTATCAACTATTCTTTATCATGTATGTTTTTGCTATGTGAGTTATTCTGTTTGAGAATATCTTTTCCTATTACCTTTGTGAAAAATATGACAGACCATCATTATAAGTAGAAGGTGAGCCTAATAACAGAAATGAAAAAGATCTCAATACTTATTCAATAAGTCAATTTAACACAGAATAAACATTGCCTTGAGTACCTGAATGACATGAACAAAATCAATATACTACAAGATTTTATGACCAAGAGCCACACATGTATTTTCAGAATATGGTAAAAATATGCAATAATTACACATGGGGCAACTAGTTCGGTGAAAACAATCACTGCCACTCCCAAAGACCCTACTGTTTTTTTGTAATGCTAGGCAGCAAAAAAACATATTGTAGGTTCTAGTTGCAAGAGACAAAGCATTTACCTGTAACAGCAATAGTGGTAAATATTTACATAAATTCATGCTATTTATCATGTATTTGCAAGTTTCATGTTCTCTTCTGTATATCTAAAAATAATATAAAATATTCTTCCAGCCATATAAGAGATGCACATGTATTAATCACAGAACAAGAATTTCACAAAACAGCAACTGGTAAATGTATGTAATCATGGTATTATGCATAGCAGATAGTTTGCAGACCACTAACCAATGCAAAAAACTTTGATATATTACAGCACTTGGTTTAATATAAAATTGGAAAAGCACTGATCTAATGTAATGTTAATGAAAGCATGTGAATTCATGTAAAAAAAGGTAATCTAAGGCTGTAATTTAAGCTTGTTGCTAAACATCCCTGATGATAACCCACTGCAAAGCTTTGATAAAAACTTGACAGCTTTTATGTGAAGGTCCCTAAAGATTTGTGAATTTTTACAAGCACACCGTTACCTATGGTATTGGAATTCCCTGCCCACTCACCGTACAACATGCAAATAGTTCTGAAAATTGGGTAATGTTCCATGACGGGCTTTCTCTGATACTTCAAGGCAATTAAGATCGTATCCTTACACCAGGTTTACTTTTTTTGTTTTTCGTTCTCTGAAATATTGGCTATCAATAACTGCTTAAGGCGAAGGATCTGTCCAAGACCCAAGAGACAAAGTAGGATCGTGAGTGTCCATTCCTCCCGCCAGGTCGTAGGATGCATCTGCAACGCCCTGCAAGATGTGATGTTCCTATTTGGAGCCCTTTGTCTTCTGGTAAGCTTCAATCACTGCAGTTAGGAATGCCTTTAAAAGAAAGAAAGAAAAAAAAAAAAACATTAATTAGAATTTTTTTTGATGAAACCAGAATTTTTATTTATTTTTTATTCAAATTCAAATAACATTATGAATATCAAGAAATCCCTTATTTTTTTATATGTTGAAATACTTTTAAATGTGGATGGCAATAAAATGTACATGCACAAGGAAGCAAATTTACCCGATTTTTTTTTTTTTTTTTTTTTTTTTAAGCTCAAGGTAAATATATATACACAAGAATGCAGATGTATAATCTCATATAAAGGCATACAATACCCAATTTAACTGATAAGCAAAACAAAATGGAATAAAATCTGACAATAGAATAAAGGCTTGTCAATACACGCAGGCATGATCAGTAGGCACTTCAGTGAGCAACTGTAAAGGAAACTACTTGTTTACAGAAGAGTTTGACCGCCTGTGATATCTCTATTTGTACCTGCCCGTGTGCATGTCAATCATGCCTGCTTGTGTGGACAGGCCTTAAGATGAACACACTATGTTAATGCTTCTGGATTCACCAAGATGATGAAGAATTATGATGATTTTATCTACCTTGAAGGGTAAGCATCTGTTGCCATGCCAAAGAAACGACTACCCAGCTGATATTCCCACAACAGCCATATATTACTGTTTAAACTATGATAACATCTCTTGTCTCTGAAGCCCCTAATACACCTCCACACACACAACACAATAAAAAAATGTGCTTGAGGCGAATGTAGACACTGCTTGAGGAAAAACACCCACAATTAAAGAGACTTATTTCTATGATTTTTGTGACATCTGTCTGCAAACCATTATCCGAATACAAACAAAAAAAAATTAAATACAATTTATGACTATTGTGCAAGATTTTAGTACTGTATGATACCTCCATGGAGAATCCTATTGGGTATTTTGGTACAATACACTTTTTACCTAACCCCCCTTCCCCCCGATATTGTTCTGACCCCATAGCATTCCAGTGATAAAGTCTTCTAAAAGCTGATAATGTTTATACAGCACTACAATGCCTCTGAATGGATTTTTATTCAATATTCCACATTAATGAATATTCAACTGAAATCCAACTCATTTAATAACAAGTTATACCGAATGCAAATTCCAATCCCACATAAGCATAAAATCTTTACATGTAGAAAAGGTATGAATGAGAAGGAATATCTTCACAATACAAGAGATGCATTTAACTGGATTTTAATATATCTTCATCAGAGATACATGTATTTCTGATGAAGATATAATCAAAACCAGTTAAATACATATCTTGTATTATGAAGATTTTCAATATCTTCCACAACCTTTCTACATCTGTCATCATAAATATGGTTCATAAAGCATTACATGTGAGGTCCCACAAAACCTTTTTCTGTGAGGATGCATGCATACCTGCCTCCCCGTGTGCATGCATGTTTGTATGAGTTTGTACAATATAAACACTTCAGAGTCTGTACCTCGGCATGAGCATGTGCAATTGTACAAGCCTAATCAGGAATGATGACGAAGATCCCCATTTAATACACACAAAAAAGGAGAAAATATTCATACATGTCACATAGTCTTATTCTCATAAGCAAAAATTAAAACATCAGACAAGAGGCACACACTTATTCTGAAGTATAAAACTGATATATCACCTGAGAAGAAAAAGTCAAAATATATTTAAAACATTATCATGAAAGAATGAGAGTTTAGCTTCACAAGAATTGGCATTACATCAAGACAAAGGATGTGTTGAAACTAGCTTCCATTCAATACTTTAAACTGCATTTCATAAATGTCTAAATTCTCAGTCCTTTTTAAACTCACACCAACATCAAACATCTTTAAATGGTACCCATAGCAAGAATACTTCAGACCAAAGAATGCTTTCCCAATAATGATAGACCAGGGCTCTCAAACTCGCGGCCCGCGGGCCAAATGCGGCCATCAACTGATGGACTACCTTTAACTGCATACAGTACCTGCATCTCCAAGCTCTCACATGGAACCTGAACATAGTTGACAATGTCTTCTGCCACCTGCTTGTAGGGAGCTGATACTTCAGCAGAATTTGGGATCACTTCGAATCCTTCTTCCACATGACCCCAGACCTCGCTCCTGGGTGTAGATCCTCTCCCCTGTGAGCCAATATTGCCAAGCTGAGAAATGCCCTGGCTTACACCTCTCCCAGCTTGTAACACACCTGTGCTAAGGGCTCCCAACACACCAAAAAGACCTCTTCGCCTCTGGGTTTGCCTCGGTTGTTCTCCAGCCAAGCTAGAGCTTGATCTTTTGGGTGTGAACGAGCTAGAATGAAGACTATGTGTGCTACTAGGACCAGTGGAGGTGGGTGGAACTGGAGGTACACCGTGCATTGTACATCCATGCTGTCTACTGTGCATCACATTTAGAGAAGAGCCTCTACTTTGGAAACTTACTTTGCCCTCCTCAGGATCTTTAAGTGAGACTAGCTTTGAGTTGTCTCCACCACCAAACACACCTAATACGCGTTTCTTCTCTTGTCGGACAGATAAACGCAATCCCTTGGGAGTAATGAATGGTGGTTCTGACAGGTCCTCATACACATGAAGCCAGTCAACCTATAAACAAAAAAATAATAAAATTAAAAAAAAAAGAAGAAAGAAAGAAAGAAGAAGAAATATATATATATATATATATATATATATATATATATATATATATATATATATATATATATATATATATATGTATATATATACAGATAGTCCTCTACTTAAGAACATTCTACTTACGCACATTCAGTACACATGAACTTTTTTTAAAAATACTTAAGTCCAAAAAATTGTTTGAAAGAAGCTAGCACACTTCAAATTTTCCAGGCGCAAATATAGTTCACGAGTCTGCCACGCCGTGGAGCTGACGCACTCACTCAGCTGTGCGCATCACTCGCCTGCCCTCCCGCCATAAACACGAAAGCCTCTCTTCACTGTGTCCTTGTGTACCGACAATTTTTGTGCCATAATTCACTTTACCTGTGCATCAATCAATTAAAAATGTCGGGTGTGAAGAGGAAGATAAATGGTGAAGCCAGTGGAATTGCCAAGAAACGTCAGGCTATAACTTTATGGATCTTATCAATCGGTTTGCCAGCCAGTCGCCACTACAATATATTTTCTTTTTGAATAAATTATGTTTCTACATTTAAAGTTTTATAAATGACCATCGAATAATATTAACCCTTTCACAACGGGTGACGCCGCTAAGCATAAAAAGAATCCCGCCGCTAGGCATAAAAAGAATCCGCACGTAAAGTGCCGTGCGGCTGTACGCCGCGGTGGCGGCCAAAGCGCGGCGAGCCAGTGATTCGGCCTGATGTATGGAACTCATGCCCTCGAAGTCGGCGCACTGCCATTGTTTGCCAAAGCGTAGAGTTTTTTATTTGCCAGTCGCCACTACAATATATTTTCTTTTTTCATAAATTATGTTTCTACATTAAAGTTGTATGAATCACCATCAAATATTAAAAGCATTACATATTACAGGTACTGTATCAGGTATGTCGTACTTATTGGGATTTATGTACAGGTATTCTTAATATAAACGAAACTTTAAAACAATGGGGAAAAAGGCAATGGAGACCTGACTTTCGACATACGGTCAAATCGACTTCCGAACAGCCTCTCGGTCCCCCCATTATGTCCATAAGTTGGGGACTTACTGTATATATATATATGTGTATATGTGTATATATATATATATATATATATATATATATATATATATATATATATATATATATATATATATATATGTGTATATATATATATATATATATATATATATATATATATATATATATATATATATATATATATATATGTGTATATATATATATGTATATGTATATGTATATGTATATGTATATGTATATATATATATGCATATATATATATATATATATATATATATATATATATATATATATATATATATATATATATATATATATATATATATATATATATGCATTTCATATACTGACAAATATGACATATGTGTAATTAAAGACTCTTAGATTTTAAAATAAGCAGTGAAAAATATACATAAGGTATAGGCCTTTCAGAAGGAAAGTGCATAAAAGTTGTATGAATCACCATCAAATATTAAAAGCATTACATATTACAGGTACTGTATCAGGTATGTCGTACTTATTGGGATTTATGTACAGGTATTCTTAATATAAACAAAACTTTAAAACAATGGGGAAAAAGGCAATGGAGACCCGACTTTCGACATACGGTCAAATCGACTTCCGAACAGCCTCTCGGTCCCCATTATGTCCATAAGTTGGGGACTTACTGTATATATATATATGTGTATATGTGTATATATATATATATATATATATATATATATATATATATATATATATATATATATATATATATATATATGTGTATATATATATATATATATATATATATATATATATATATATATATATATATGTGTATATATATATATGTATATGTATATGTATATGTATATGTATATGTATATATATATATGCATATATATATATATATATATATATATATATATATATATATATATATATATATATATATATATATATATATATGCATTTCATATACTGACAAATATGACATATGTGTAATTAAAGACTCTTAGATTTTAAAATAAGCAGTGAAAAATATACATAAGGTATAGGCCTTTCAGAAGGAAAGTGCATAAAAGTATGATAGACAACTGTAAAAATTCATGGCGAGTCTTTCTAAACTGCATACTCTAGATTTTATGGACAGATGAGAAAGTATACATCTAAAAAAAATTTAAAAATTAGAAATGAAACAAAATTCAAAGCAAAATGCACCTTCCAGTGGCCCAAGATGTCATTTCTTGTTATACACATTATCCTCTTGTCTGTGGCGATGAGCATAGAGCGATTCTCTGTGATGATGGCATGGCCGACATACACATCTGTTTCAGCGTAACGACCTTTCTCCAATTCCTTGTAGGAGAGATAAAAGAAAAAATTATAAAGAAAAGCAAGATTAAAAGCAGTTGAATTTCAAGTATTTCATTTCTTTATATACTTTCACAAGTTAGTATCAAATGTCCTCGCTTACACGTAGTAGCCTGGCTCCCTCAGCAAAATGTTGCACATATGGTCGCACAACATTATCTGGGCCTATGAACCTCGAAGGCCGTCTACGGCTAACAGTCTCTTCACCTGCCTCTGTTGCCCTTAATTACAAAATAAAAATCAACTCCATTAATTGCATTCAGTAAAAGTGTATATATACATATATATAGGGAGTGTGCCAAGCAGCTGATTTTTCATGCAAAAACTTATTTTTACTGTATCATAGTTATATCTGTATCCCATAACTGAAAACAGTGTTAACAACCAGACTGAAAAGCAGCTAAAACCAACACTGTATAATACAATTAGCACAAAAGCAGTTGATGATAACATGAAAATTAAACCCTATGATAAATGAGGAAAAAAAAAAACTCTCACTAGTATAAACTGCAAAGAAATTCCTTCAAGACAAAATTTAGCAGAATTTCATTTTCCCTCCTTTTCTATCTCAATATGTACATAAAACAGCACACGCACACACGGTACTTACAGCTTAACAGAGCAGTCAAAATATTCACTAATTGCAGTAACAAATGAGCATACTTGACCAAACTAATGCAAAAATATGTGTATAGCAGTCATAAAGTGAATTATACCACTATGAAAGTAACTTGCATGCATATATAAAACTTTAACCATAAGCGAAGTAATTAAACACTGAATAACTAATAAAACAATTTAACCCAGACAAATGAACTTTGGCTGCTCATTACTTTGAAAACATAAAAGATTCCTATCATTTATCTCAAATTTTTTCTCAAGATCCTGCATATTCTAACTTTTCCAGTTTCCTTTGTCCCCCTTCCCCAAAATATTCAAATTAAACTTGCAATTTGCATGATCAAACAAGCACAGTGCATATTGGAATGCCCAAGCATAAAGTAAAACTATATCAGATTTCAAAAGCAAACTTCTATCTATGACATTTTCACTTCAAAAGAGTACCTCAGAGCTTTGAAAAAAAGTCCACCCTCAGAGCTGGAAATGCAAGACAACTGAAAATATCAATCTTCAGTCTGGTTAATCAATGGAACAAAATTAAGTTGCACCAATCAAATTGTGATTGCTAACTCAAGAGAATGATAAACAGTATGGAAAGGGAGGGAGGAAGAAGTGAGGAATAGATGTGAAACTGTCAAGGTAAATCACAAAGAAATAGAGACAAGGTAGCAACCAAAACACACATGAATACCTGTGAAAAATGTAGGTCACTAAAACTGGAGAAAAAAATATTTCTTGAAACAAAGGAAAAGGAAGTTGCAAGTGGACAAAGGAGATGGCAGCAATGAATAAAAACATGGGAGATCCTGAATAATACAGAATGAGAGTGATCAAATTCACACAGCATGAAACATAACTACATCTTTTATTCTGTGAACTTATTTCTTCTCATTCATATCCTTTTGTTACACTGAGCAAGGTATGTGCAGACAATATACCATAAAGACAAGGTAAGCAGAGAAAAGAGGAAGAGGGAATTAAGTATGTAATGGAAAAAAGAAAGAAAATAGAACAAATTCTAGTCTACACAAAAATACTGATAAGATGAACAAAACACATGTAATAGAGGTTATCACAACCACTAATGTAAGAGAATTAATTTTGCATTAGATGATCATTTTAAAAAATAAAAAGATCAGAAACACAGACATTAGCAAAAAGAAGGGTGAAAGATGGCAGCAACAATAAGAAAATGCCTCCTGAGACAGTACTTCCAGTGGTATCCTCACCTCATAACAGCGTCAAACGACCCGCTGGCAAAGTCGATGACGCCTGAGGCTGGTCGAGTAACCAGGCCAACCATGCCCTTGCCCATTCCCTTGAAGAACCCTTCCACACCTTCCTTTTTGGCCCCTTCAATGGGCTTTAGGAACACTCCGGTCACTCCATCAAACACACCCTTTGTGGTAGAAACAAACCCAATTATTAACATAGTGTTGCATGATCCAGGGCACATCACATCCAGGCCTTTTGGTCCAAATAGGGGAATGAGCCTAAAAGACACTATTTTCCCCTGATAAATGTAGACGAGGTAGGAATGAAAATCAATATCTTCACAGACAGGTTTGTGTGAAGATACTTACCGTAACCATTCCCTTGCCTCCTCTGGCAAGACTTTCAATTCCATCAGCAGGTTTGCGGTGCATTGCTTCCCTTCTCCTCCTCTGGTAGTCATCATCAAGAGTCAGGGCAGCAACCCCCTTGCCTTTACAAACAGGGCAACAATACTCAGTTCATATCTAGACACACCTTCACTGATTTAGATACACTTAAGAAATAAATCATATTTCCTAAGCTTCCTCAAACATAATACAAAAGCCGTTTGTATCTTCATGTCCCAAGCTATTACAAAACCACACAAGTTGAAGAAACAGAGTTGCTTACCAATAGTTCCTGTGATGCGAGACACAGCCCCAGCCGCACCACCAACCGTTGCTCCCATGAAGTTGGTTAGTCCATACAGCATTCCCTCTGCAAACTCTCCTGGGCCTTCAATTGCACCCTATACATAAAGAACAAAAATAATCTTCATGAACATATTTCTGTTTGATACTATATCTTCACAAATCTGTGATGACTACTCACCAAAATTTCTTTCCATTCACAATGGCAAATAGCCTCATTCTAAAAATTGCTTGAACCAACTTACAAAGGCAGATCTCTCCATACCTGAATAGGCTCATAAAATAGGGACTCCACCCCATGCGTCAAGCCCACGACAAGTCCATAAGGGTTGCCGATGACATCCAGCCCAAGCACAACTTTGAAGAGCTGCATTAGGAACTGTCCTCTGTAATGGCTAATCATCTCCTGTGTGAGCTGGCCCCACGTCATCCACTTATTTTGGCGCTCCATGTACGATAATCTGTAATGTAGTTTGGAATGATTCAGTCGAGAAGAGATTTACATAATGCTACTGGCCACACTAAAACTTTAGATCATTATTTTTTTTTCAAATCTTTAGATCCATGAATCTGCATACTACTTGTCATTTTCCATTCACATTAAAAGATTATATTTGATAACTATTCTAATGCCCACTCTCTACAACATGCACTGCAACTTACCTAAAAACAACATCCTGGACCTCAGTCAGGGTCACTCCCACACTCTCCAGGAAGAGGTGAATGACCTGACCTCCCACAGGCAGACTGGCTCCTGACTCCGACCCACTCAAGGAGAAGCTAAGGTGCATCTGGCCGAGGAGATAACGACAGAGAGTCAGGAACAATGAGAGGGTCATGAGAAATATGGATAATACACCTATGTTTAACCCCTTAGTGCCGGGTGACGCCGATCGGCGTGTAAACAAAGAGCTCGAAAGCTGGCGTGCAGCCGAACGAGCCGGCGGCGCGCCAAAGCGCGGCGAGCCAGTGATTCGGGCTGATGTCCCCTACTCACGCGCTCAAAGTCTGCGCGCCGCCTTTGTTTGTTTAAGCGTAGAGGTTTTTTTTTTCTTTTGTACACCCGGCGCCATTGGGTTAAAAAGAGTTAAAACAAATGTGTTTTCTTCCAGGTGTTCCAGTGTGTGTGTGGGAATAAGATTGTGTATGTGTAAGAAAGAGTGAAAATGTGAGTGGGAGTTGGGGTAGGAGCCTGACTGAGAGTAGGGGCAGGAGTGGGAGTGGTTGTGGGAGCCAGAGTAGGGGTAAGGGTGGGAGAAGGGATAGGAGTGGGAGTGGGGCAGGGAGTGGGGAAAGGAGTCAGAGTCAGAGGGTGTGGGAGTAGGAGATGAAGTAGGAGTAGGAGTGAGAATAGGGATATGAGTTGGAGTCAAAGTTGGTGTTGGTGTACATGTAGGAGTGAGTGTGCGAATGAGAATGAGAATGGGAGAGTGATAATAGAAGTGCTGGGGGTAGGGGGTGGGCGAAGTTACAGGGAGATGCTGATGTAACTTGTCTTTATAAAGCCTCAAATATTCTACATTTCAGGAAATGAACACAAACTGTCTCTTACTTTAATAGGAGAAAGATGCAAAAGGTCATAGTAGTCCTTCTGACCACTGATAGCTTGGCTTTGGGCCCTCATAGTCAAGGTTTCCCGAACAAGTTTGTTATCCTCATCAAACTCTTCCATCTGCAACAAAAAATTAGTTATTTAACATTCCTAAACCATGTAAATAATGATGAACGTCCCCCTAGACTTCAATCATTAAAACTAATTTCAAATCCATCATTAACAAAATCAATACATCCCTTGCAGTATCATCTTAGGACTACAATCTGTAAGCTACATTAAAGCACTTCTGAATTCAACTCACCGAATAAAGATTGTCTGAGACATCATTCGATGGGTAAAGCACCTCTAGGACGGCATATACAAAAGGCAGCTCAACTTTAAGGTGAAATTCTTGTATGAGCATTGCCAGATACTTGTACTGAGAGAAGCTTGGCGAGGTGAGTCTCTGCACGATGCTAACTTCACAGAATGGCTTGGCAACTGTACAGGAAGAGGGAGAGACAAATGCTATAAATGCCTTGGGAGGAAAATTAACCTGTTAACTCCAGGTGATGGGGACATCTTGACAAAATTTGGCCAAGGGGTGGGTGATTGGTAGGTCTTGTCACTAAAAACTTTGCCCTAGTGCAAGGATGACTGGAATGTCTTGTCACAGGAAATTATTGCTGAGTGGCAGAGAAGATTAAAAACATTAAATATAAACAAAATATTCAGGATGGTTCTCTTAAACATGACATTAAACTTATTGAAATCAAGAAAGTGATGATTCCATAATCTGTATTGGATCCACACATTAACCTTTATTTTATCTTTATTTAACCTTATCCTCCTATCACAGAATACACACCTGTCTCAGCCATGACACTTCTAGGGGGAGGAACTCTTGCTAATACAACTGGGAACATCACATCTGTCATCTGGTTGTCAATCTGAAGGCTGTTAATTTTCAGATGGATCTGTCGTTGGTGGGGCGATGTTCGCAGCTAATAGAGATTAAAAGAAAGAAATCACTACTCATCCACCTACTCATTTTTGGTCATGACTAGAGTAGCATCACCTCCATTATCAAATTGTCTGGCAAAATATACAGAATCCACTAAAAAATTATAACAGTTTACCTCAAACCAGATCCCAGGCTGGAATGTCCTTCGAATGTTTTTGTGGAAAGGTTTGAGAATTCTCATGCTTTCAAAATCCACCTACAGAAGAAGAAAGAGGTAAAAATTTCGGTTAAAATTGATTATATTTCTTTTAATATGTAACTAGATACACTATATGTCACATCTGAGTATTAGACCATGCACAGAATATATAATGGTAGAATCTATACCATGAACACTTACCTCAAAATTATCTCTTATCACATAGTATGACTGAATAGGGGCACCTCCTGAGAATGTTTTTAGCTGAGCCTGATACAAGTTGTGGCAGACTTCCAGTTCATTCGTCTGGTTCTGTGTGAAGGGACGGTACTTTCTGCCCTTGATTTTGCGGTATTCCCACACAACACCAGAGCTGCAAACAAATTCCATTAGTAATTAGTCGAAGTCATGAGTTATGGAATTAAACTTATCATTTTGTAGGAAAAAACACAATTGGTAACTTTGGCAATTGTAAATAATAGATGATTTATATCATCCTCACCAATGTTGAGGGATATTATCAAACTACAATACAGAAAACCATATTGAATTCAACCATATCAAACTCTATTCAAAAGCAGTAAAATCAAAACATAAAACTCAACTTTTTGTCCATCCTTTTACTATGGTATTGGATCAAGTAAATCAATCATTAAACAGGATTTTCAGAGACACATAAACATCTTTTTAAACTGACAAAAAATACCTTGTCCCTTGATCTCACCTCGCCAAGCTCATGTATGCAACTTCCTTCTTCTTAACATCATCAACTAATGAAAGGTCTATGCTGCTTAGTGAGAACTTCAGTTCCTGGTTAATGCGTTCTGACTCGACAGCATTTAAGGCAGCTGTGGCAATCTCAATTTCATCCGTGAAGAGCAAACACCGCTGGTTTCCAAAGAGGAACACTACCCAGTGGACTGTATCATCATTCATCTGACCACGCTCATCCTGTTCAGTGGAAAAGGGTGTAAAGGTTATGTATGCCGCCAAAACAACTCCATAATACATCAGAACAGCGTTCCCATCTGCTTTGAATAATCTAATATGCAATACTAATCCACTTAGTCTTTCTGCTCTTCTAAAACATTGTACAAGTATTTCTGGAATTTATGTTGCTCATTCTTAATACATACATTTCTAAGGCATTGTTTCTATTCTTAACAATTTATAAATGCATACAAGCTGGTTAAAAAAGAATTGCTCATCAGATAAAAATCAAATATAATGAGTAAAATTAAGTAACAATATATCTAGATAAAACAGACAGCATATAAACAGTATAAATAAATGTATCTATATATATATATATGTATGTATGTGTGTATGTATGTATGCATGTATGTATGTATATATGTGTCTATGTATGTATTTATCTATATATATACATACTGTACAGTAGCTTTCTGCCTAAAGTCTAAACCTGAAAATGAAAATGCTGGACTTACCTTGTCTAGTGAGTGCTGCGTGGTCTTCCCAGCCCCGCAAGCCCACACCAACTGAAGTGAATCTCCAGGATCACTCCATGTATAGTGCTGTATGGACTGGGGTTTCACATGGCTGCAAATTTCAACAGAAAATTAATAAAGAATAGATAAACTGATACACAATTATATCAATACATTTGTTTTAGAACAGAAGTCACTGTAGTATATAACCATAATGATACACTTAACCATCATCTTACAGAGAGACAGTTGATATAAATAGCTCTACAGATATTACACCAGAAATCACCAAATTCTATAGCAATAAAGAGTCATCAACTTACACTTTCTTGTTATCATTATTGTGCTGCCAGAGAGAGACAGTTGTGTTGGTGAGATGATTTATGATCAGGACGGGTGACATGCCCTCTGAGAACTGGTCCAACTGCACCATAGCTCCTCCATCCATCAGGTTCACCTCCGCAGTGATGCCTCCGTACTGTAAGCCAACAACATTTGCAGATAAACTGGTTAAGTGAGTAAATTCTAGTTTCTTGGGTATTACTGATCTTTAAATGTTGATTCACATATCACAGGAAAACATTCTCTACAGTAGGAATAAAGATCAGTCACCATCACCATTATCATTATACTTTTTAACCACATCACCATCACCACCCTCATTCCTACTACAACAGATGAAAGTACTAGGTTCTCGGCAATTAAAAATCAAATATTATACATAGCAAAATAAATAAAGGCCCCCTCTTACCTACCTTGTTAGGTATATAGAGAAGAGTTGAGAGGGGTTGGTCATAACGCAAAGCCGCTGTCATTTCAGTGGTTCCCCTTATTCTCACATGAATGCGTCTTCCATTTCCTATTGGCCACCATCCAATGCACTCTCCTACAGGGAAAAATACATGGAATGATGTACATTCAACTTCCATCAACTGGATCCTTTAGTTAACTGCTAGTTTCCTTAACACACACAT